GAGAGGAGGAGGAGGAGGAGGAGGAGGAGGAGGAGGAGGAGGAGGAGGAGGAGGAGGAGGAGGAGGAGGAGGAGGAGGAGGAGGAGGAGGAGGAGGAGGAGGAGGAGGAGGAGGAGGAGGAGGAGGGGAGGGGGAGGGGGAGGGGGAGGAGGAGGAGAAGCAGCAGGAGGAGCAAGTGAGGAGCGGCGACGGCGGCGACGGCGGCGACGCCTGCGAGCGAGGCCGCCGGCGCCCCCCCGGCCTCGGCTGCCGCTGGCCCCGGCGGCGCCGCCGGGGACTCGGAGGCTGCAGCCGCCGCGGCGCAGCTGCGGAAGGACGCGGGCCGCGCCCCCGCCGCCTGGGTGGGTGGCCGGCGGGGCACTCGTATCGGGGGCTCTGTCGGAAGGGCCCCGGCGAGGGGGCGCCTCCAGAGGCCCGCCTGGAGAAGCCGGGGCCACCTCGGGACGGGCCGGCTTCTGTGTGTATTCCCTCTCTTCCTCACGCTTACCTCTCTTTACCGCGGCCCCTAGCGGCTCAGGTATGGGAGCATCCATATTGGATCTAGGACTGAGCTGGCGGAGCCCTACGGATCCCCTTCAGACGGACGGTTAGGCCCTTCGGTTCCTTCCCTCAGTTCACAACTTTGGCAGCATGAGGGGCAAGGGCGCATACGGGGCGAGGCGAGCGGCATGGTTGCGCGGCGGGAGGGGGAGGAGGAGGGCCGATGGGGAAGACTCTCAATGGCCGTGTGATCGGCTGTCAATGGCGATCTGGGTCTCCAGGTTTTTCCCAACGGCGAGCCGCGGGCTTTCAGAAGGCCTGCTTCCATTCTCATCGAGCACGCCATGTAAGTGACCCCCCCCTGAACAGAAGCGACTGAGGATGAAACAGCCGGCAACTGCTCAAGACGGACAACTGGCCTCGCTGGGAACTGCTCCCTCACACACAGGATCCTGGATCCTCCTGCGGCGGTTGGGAGCCCGCCCTCGAGCGGGCAAAACATGCTCCAGCTGTTGGATTGGCGCTGACTCCTCCAGGACAAAAACATTCCATTCACGCAACAGCTGCTGAAGATCCCCGCTGATTTATTGTGTGCTTCGCCGACCAAATCCGCTTGGACCGAAGCCTGCTCCGTTCGGGCTGGCAGGTATGTGCGCGTGTTGGGCGGCTCCACGGGCATGGGGGCACGAAGCAAAGCCCCGCAATCTGGATCCTCGACCAGCGGGCAAGGAGCAGGGCGGAGACAGCGGGCAAGGAGCAGGAGGAGAGGGAGGGAGGCAAGGAAGAACAGGAGAGGGGAAAAGCAACCGCAAGCAGACAGGCCGTGCCGGGAAGCGTCGGGCCAGGGCGAAAGAGAAGACATGGACCGTCGGAAGATTTGGGAACCTCCGGGGAAGCGGGGGGGAAGACGAGCATCCAGAACATGGGAGAAACGATGGTCCCTGGGCCCCTTCGTTGGCCCCTCCCGCAAGCGGCGCGGCTGGCCGATCGGAGCCAGGGCGATGGCCAGGCGGGCGCGGTCGGGCGCGCGGGCCCCCTTCGCATCGGGCCGCGCTGCCGCCGCGGTCGTGGGCGGCGGGCGCTCGCGCGAGGCGCCCGCGGCGGCGACGGCGTGGCAAAACATCGTCGGCTTCCAGAACGTGTGGGAAGTATGGGCAGTGGAGGGGGAGACGAGCATCCAGGAGATAGTTCTGAAACACGTGGGAGATCCTGGGATTCGTATCTAATGATTTGTGTGTGTCCCTGGGCCCCTTCACATCAGGCGGACGGCTGGTCTCGATCGCGGCGGTTCTCCTCCGTCTCGGCCCCCTGTGGGGAGGTCTCGGGGGGGGGACAGGCTCAGAGAGGGGAGTTCTCGAACGCTTCCTTGCGCTTTCCATGGTTTTTCGGGGCCCGCGGTGGCTTCCATCAGCCGCGCCTCGTCGAGGGCGTTCTGGGGGTGCCGGGATTGTCCCGAACGGTCGCCAGAGGGCCGAGATATGAGCCGAAAACCCATTTCGGCCGCTCGTCTCGATCTCGATCCCAGCAGTTCTCCTTCGTTTCGGCCCCCTAGGGGCCGGGCGGTCTCTCAGACGAAGCCAGGGCGAAGATAACATCAGGTGAGGATAAACCGAGAATCTCTGAGATCCGGCGGGTCCGGAGGATGTCTTGGGCGCCGCGGCGTTCTCAGGGCGGGGAGCGTTTTGGAACGCTTCGGAACGCATGTGCCCGTCTCGTGAGATGACTACTCGTTCTGGGGACCTTCCTGGGGGCCACCCGACAGATCCGCTCGACTCTTGGTTCGACTCTAGCTCGACTCCAGTTCTTCTATAGCTCGACTCGAGTTCGACTCAAGTTCGACTCAGGTCGGCGGACGTTCGATGCAAATATCGACGTATGAGTGGAGCGAGTGGCTCCCGGCGGTTCTCCTCCATTTCAGCCCCGTGGGCTTCTCTTCCACCACACGAGGTGCGCACACACAGCTTTACGTCGGCGGCTAGGCAAAGTCACTGCGCTGGCGAGGAGCGAAACGGGGCTGCCGTTAAGCGAATTGTGTCACCAGGCAAGAGGGGAGGAGAAGACAACGAAGCGACGGCCGAAGAGGAGGAGGAGGAGGAGGAGGAGGAGGAGGAGGAGGAGGAGGAGGAGGAGGAGGCGGGCCAGGGCCGCTCCGGGGAACGGGTCGTTCCCAGGGGCGCGTGGCGCGGCCGTCACCGACACACTTTTTTGGTCTGCGGGTCGAGAGCGAGCCTCTTCCGGTTAAGAGCTAGGCGGGCCGCGCAAAGCACTAATTGGGGAGACAGAGCGCAGGCGGGCGTGGCCTCAGGCGGCCGGAGGGCGCGGGGTGCAGGTGGTGCTGAGGAGCTTGCACAGGAAAAGGTACACCTTGGACAGGAGCCGGAGGCGAAGTCCCGGATGGTGAGCGGTGTGGTGTTGCCGTCGACGGCGCATCAAAACCACCATCCTCAAGTGCTGCGTGCGGAAGGACCCGTCACCGACACACACACACCTCCTCTGCCGCTGCCTCCTGCTCGTGCTTCTCCTCCGCCTCCTCCTCGCCTTCGCGCCTTCCCCTGTCGCCTCCTCTTCCCTCTCTCTCTTCAGCTGCTGCGCTTGCTGGAGGAAATCATCGCGCCCGCGGGGAGGGCGGTCTCGGGCCCCGCGGGGCCATCGAGCACGGGTCCGCGACGGAGCCCCCCGCCCCGAGGAGCGGGCCGAGACTCGCTGGCGACAGGGCATGCAGTCGGACCAAGGTGTAAGATCGAGGTCGACTCTAGGAGGGTGGCCCAGTGCTCTTCGTGCCTGTCGGATGTCCTTGTGCATCCTGGGGAGGGCACCCTCGGATGCTCTGTGTGTTTTTTCCGGCGGAGGGCCTCATGCTCTTGAAACGTGCTCTTCCGGCCTTTGGTCCGACTGTACCCGTAGGCCCGCGGCCTCGCGGCCTGGGCCCGCGGACGCGAGGCGTTTTCGCGCGTGCCCCCCGCGCGGAGCGTGGGCCGTGCGACCGCGCATCCGCGCATGCCCAGGCCGCGAGGGCGCGGAGACGGACACGTCCGCCTTCCGCGGGGAGACCTTTGAGGTCGCGAGCTGGAAGAAGCACGTCGTCGGGTGCCCGGGGCCTTGGGGGGGTAGGGTGGCCGTCTCTCACTCACCACCCACCAAACCACCCCAACCCGACCCGAAGGCTCAGATTTACCCTCGATTTCCAGGGGGGGGGTCGGGAAACATTGAAAAAACACGTGTGGAACCCTTACCCCCCCCAACCCGAAATTCGGGTCTTCGGGTTAGGTTGGGGTGGTCTGGTAGGTAGTCAGTCTCGCATGGCCCTGCGGAGGGGCCGTGCCGCGGTTGTTCAGTCCGCCCGCCCGTTGCCGGTGGTGGCGCCCAGTGCTCCACGCGGCGGTGATGGCGGGCGAGGTACCGGAAGGGCATCGGCGGAGGGGCTTTCAGTGAGGCATCGGGTCGGCGGAGGGGCCTCCTCCCTCCTTCCTGCTCCTTCTTCCTCCTGCTCCTCCTTTCTCCTGCTTCTCCTTCCTCCTGCCTCTCCCTCCTCCCTCCTCCTCCTGCTCCTCCTTCCTCCTGCTCCTCCTCTTCCCCCTCCCCATCCTCCCTGCTCCCCCCTCCTCCTCCCCAGAGCTGCCTCGGAGTTTCTGCTGAGAGGACCTCGAGGCCGCGGACGAAAAGAACAGGGACCTGGGCAAGAAGATGAAGCAGCTCGCGCAGGCCTACAAGAAGCTGCAGGATGAGAAGCAGGAGGCCGCGCCACTCCCTGCCCCTCATCCCCGCCCGGTTCTGTTGACGTGCTCCTCTGAGGGCCTCTGGAAGGCTTCTCGTCGCCAGGGCTGGGCTCGTCTCCAAACTCTTCTGGCCGACGCGTGACTCCCGGCTCTCGGACACGGACCTCCTCGGCGCAGCCGGTCAAGTTCGTGACGCAGGCTGTCTCCCCTCGGTTCGGGCCTTGCTGCGGGGCCGGCCTCTAGCCTCCAGGCCGTAAAACGACTGCTCGGCATGAGTGACTGCTCCTCGGGATCGGGTCGGCGCGGTCTGGCGACTCGAAAGCATCAGGTCGTCGGGAGAAGTTGGACGCGGGAGGAGTTCAGCGAGGGGGAAGAGGAGGAGGAGGAGGAGGAGGAGGAGGAGGAGGAGGAGGAGGAGGAGGAGGAGGAGGAGGAGGAGGAGGAGGAGGAGGAGGAGGAGGAGGAGGAGGAGGATCTGATTGATGATGTTGATGTTGCTGATGATGGTGATGGTGATGGTGGCACTGATGAGGGTGGTTGAAAGGGTGATGATGACGGTTCATGCTAATGAAGATTGCTATGCTTATGACCATGATGATTGATGTGATGATGGACTCGATCATTGTGGCAATGCTTATGATGGTGATTCTGATGATTGTGGCGAGAGTGATGATGATGCTGATGATGATGCTGCTGATGATGATGCTGATGATGATGATGCTGCTGATGATGATGATGATGATAATGACGATGATGATGATGATGATGATGATGATGATGATGATGATGATGATGATGATGATGATGATGATGATGATGATGATGATGATGATGATGATGATGATGATGTGATGATGATGATGATGATGATGATGATGATGATGATGATGATGATGATGATGATGATGATGATGATGATGATGATGATGATGTGGAGGAGGAGGAGCAGGAGGAGGAGGACGGGGAGGAGGAGGAGGAGGAGGAGGAGGAGGAGGAGGAGGAGTACGGGGAGGAGGAGGATCGCGGATAGAGGATCGAGGAGGATCGAGGATCGAGGAGTTTCGAGGATCGAGGAGGATCGAGGATCGAGAAGGAGGAGCATAGAGGAAGAGGATCGAGGAGGAGGCGAGGAGGCGCCGCTTGGGGGGGCTGGGAGGGAGAGGGAGAGGGAACGGGAGAGGGGAGGGGGGGGAGGGAGAGGGAGAGGGAAAGGGAACGGGGCAGGGAATGGGAGGGGAAGAGGGGCAGGGAGAGAGAGAGAGAGAGTGAAAGAGAGAGAGAGAGAGACAGAGACAGAGACATAGAGAGAGAGGGAGAGAGAGATACAGAGAGAGAGAGAGAGAGAGAGAGATAGAGAGAGCGAGAGAGAAAGAGAGAGAGAGAGAGAAGAGAGCGAGAGAGAGAGAGAGAGGGCAGGAGGGATACATGCGCACACAACTGTACATAGAGAGAGAGAGAGAGAGAGAAACATACAGAGACATCCAGAGAGAAAGATAGAGGGAGAGAGAGACGGGGGTGGAGGGGAAGACATCTGGAGGGACGTACACACCAGTGTGCCACGAGAAAGGACGGCACTGACTCCTCCTCCTCCACCTCCTCCTCCTCCGACCTTTCTCGTGGCTTGCTGGCGGTTGCGTCCCTCCATCCTTCTCCCCCTTCACCTCCCTTTTGTTCTCTTTTTCTCTTTCTATATATCTATAAGAGATGAGGGGGTGAGATCGAGGTGGAACGGAGAGCCCCCGTACCGGGAAATCGGTTTCGGTTTCGTGTTCATGCGTGCCGTGCGTGCGGGCGAGGCGAAGCTGCGTGGGCGGGCGAGAGGAAAGTCTCCTGTGGCTGAGGCGCGGCCGGACCAAATGACTCCCTTCCGGCGTCCGGTGGCCCGCGGTGTCCCGCCGGTGTTCCATGGCTGAGGCGCGGCATGACCAAATGACTCCCTTCCGGCGTCCGGTGGCCCGCGGTGTCCCGCCGGTGTCCCGTTGGTGTCCCGTCGGTGTCCCGATGATGACAGTGATGATGATGATGACGACGATGAGGATGATGATTATGATGATGACGATGATGTTGATGATGATGGTGACCAGGTGATCATGATGATGATGATGATTATGATGATGATGATGATGATGATGATGATGATGATGGTGTCCCGATGTTGATGATGATGATGATGATGATGATGATGATGATGAGGTTGATGACGTTGGTGACGATGCTGTTGTTGATGATGACGTTGATTGTGAGATCGATTGTGATATCGATCGTGACATCGATAGTAAGATCGAATGTGTGATCGATTGTGAGAGCGATCGTGAGATCGATAGTGAGATCTATTGTGAGATCGATAGTCAGGTCGATGGTGAGATCGATCGAATGAAATAGATCGAGTGGGATCGATTGTGATATCGATCGAGTGAGATCGATCGAGCGAGACCGATAGTGAGATCGATAGTGAGAGCGATAGTGAGACCGATCGAGTGAGACCTTGGTGACGTTGGTTCCTCCCCCCGAACCTCCTTATCACCCGAAGGGTGGTCGTATAGGTACATATATATATATTCATACACATATAGATTTGCATGTGTCCCTCCTTCCCTCTCTCTCTCTCTCTCTCTCCCTGCCCCTCGTCCCCTTCCATTCCCTGCCCCTCTCCCTCTCCCTGTCTCCCTCCCTCCCTCCCCCCCGTGGGCGCCTCCTCCCCTCCTCGATCCTCTTCCTCTTTCCTCCTCCGTCTCCTCCTCGATCCTCGATCCTCCTCGATCCGCGATCCTCCCCCTCCTCCTCCTCCTCCTCCTCCTCCTCCTCCTCCTCCTCCTCCTACTCCTCCTACTCCTCTTCCTACTCCTGTCGCCGTCACTGTTGGCATCGATGTCACGAGGGACTGGCCACCTCCTCCTCCTCCTCCTCCTCCTCCTCCTCCTCGTCCTCCTCCTTCTTCTATGACGCTCCGACCTCCTCCCGCTCTCTCCCTCCCGATCCTCCCCCCGCCGGGCGGCGGTAGGCCGACCAGCGGTGCACGGAGCTGGCGCAGAGGGCCCCGGCGGCGCCCGCGAGGCGGGGGCTGCCCCCCGAGCTCGCGGCCCGGGCGCGCGCCGCGCTCCAGGCGCCCGGCGGGCGGGGGGCGGGGCGCGGCGGAGGCGGGCGGAAGCGGAGAAGGGAGGGGGCGCGGAGGGAGAGAGGGGGGGGGGCGGGGAGGTGGGGGGCGGGGGGAGGGGGAGGGGGAGGGATCGGGGGGCCAGGGGGGGGTGCGGAGAGGGGGCGGGGGGAGGGGGGGGGGGGGGGGGAGGGGCGGGGGGAGGGGGGGGGGGGCGGGGAGGTGGGGCAAGGAGGCGGAAGACGAGGGTGACGATGTCGACGGCGGAAGTGGTGGCGAGGAGGAGGAGGAGGAGACGGAGGACGAGGAGGAGGAGGAGGAGGAGGAGGAGGAGGAGGAGGAGGAGGTGTCCTCCCTCTTTCCTCTTCCTTTTGTGTGCTGTCTTCGTGAACTCCTTGGAGCGACCGCTCCAGGAGTCGCCATGCTCCTAGTTTTATCACCCTCCCAGGGCTGACTGGCTCGGGGGGGGGATGGTCGCGTCTGGCGGGCTCTGAGACCATTTGTGCCTCAGCGCCTCAGGATGACGATGATGATGATGATGATGATGATGATGATGATGATGATGATGATGATGATGATGATGATGATGATGATGATGATGATGATGATGATGATGATGATGATGATGATGATGATGATGATGATGATGATGATGATGATGATGATGATGATGATGATGATGATGATGATGATGATGATGATGCTGATGCTGATGATGATGATGATGATGATGGTGGTGGTGGTGGTGGTGATGATGATGCTGATGCTGATGATGATGATGATGATGATGATGATGATGATGATGATGATGATGATGATGAGGATGATGATGATGATGATGATGATGGTGATGGTGATGGTGATGGTGATGGTGATGGTAATGGTGATGGTGATGGTGATGGTGATGGTGATGGTGAGGAGGAGGAGGAGGAGGAGGAGGAGGAGGAGGAGGAGGAGGAGGAGGAGGAGGAGGAGGAGGAGAAGCCGCGTGAGGGGCCTCGCTGGTGGGGGGAGGCGATCCCAACCCAGCCGCGGCGACGAGCGCCCTCCCGCCCCCCCCCATGCGCGGGGGGCCCGCCCCACAACGCACGCCAGAGCTCCACGGCGCGCAGGGAGAGGGGCCCTCGAACAGGAGCCCCGCGCGCCCCTCCCCCGCGCTTGTTGTTATCTGTTTGATCTTGCCGTCTTATCGCTGGGCAGCTCTCATGTCCGAACGTTAGTGCGATGGTGGCGTTTGTTAGAGAAATGTGTCCTGGAGGCGAGGCTTGAGACCCGGCCCTAGAGGATGAGTTATCTGGTGAGGGCGGCGGTGAGTTCGGTGGCCAAGCCTCAATGAGTGCTCGGACCCGGTATTCCTTATCCAATCGTTCCGTATCCAGCTTCCTCACCGTATTGTTGATCCCCCCACAAGTGCTTACTGTGTTTTTCAATCGAAGTGCCCCTCCTCCGGGTGCTCGCACCATGTTGTTTATCAGGGGAAGTCTTGAGCCTCAAAATGTGTTTATGGGTTCCCCCGCCTGGTAATTTCTGCAAGTGATTCGGGAATCGCACTCCCGCTCGAGATACCATTGCAATTAACCAAGAATCGCGCTTTCGCCTCGAATTTCTTTCGATTTGTTTCAAGTGGTCGCGCTGTCGCTGCTCAGCAATCGTGCTCTCGCCCAGGACTCCTTCGCAATTTAGTCAGGATTCGCGCTCTCGCCTTGGACCTCTTTGCAGTTTACAACAAGGGATCCTGTTTTCATGTTCCGCCCGCTCGGGCGTCCCAGTAGGGTCCGCCCGCCCGACCCGCCTAGGAGGGCCCGCCCGCCTGGCCCTCCTGTCAGGGAGGCACAAAAGCACGGGGCACCCTGGGACGCCCGGACACCGTCGAAGAATGTGGCCCAACACATGTCTTGCAGGAGGTTTTCGTCTCGTACGTGTCTACTGTGCGCCGCTGCGCGGCGAGGGGGCTGCCGGGGTCCCGCTCCCATTCTTGACACTTGGAAGGGGACCCGATCGGGGACCCGGGGCCCCGCTGCCGGGGTCCCGACCTCACGGCGCCATCGCCAATGGAAGGGGCCGAGGCTCTCCCTTCGGCCCCTCGGCCAGCGGAGACGGCCGTAGGGAGGGGTGCCGACGTGCCTCCACAACCTCAGACCTTGGAAGACCTTCCGGCGCCAATCGCCACCAGGCACTATCTTCTCCCCCCCCCCTCGGGGGCGGCAAAGAGGGGGGTGATGACGGGGGGGGGGGGATACCGTGGCGGGGGCCATGATATCTGCCAGATTTCATGGCGCCTCTTCTTGTTTCATTACGTCCCTGGCCCCCCCCGCTGGGCCGCGCACATGCCGCCGGTCATGACTTGCACCCCCCCCTCTTTGACGCCCCCCCTCTTGGCCGCTCCCGACCTCCCGCGTGCTTGCGCGCGCGCGCGGCAGCAGCCTGCCGCGTGGGCAGGCCAGCCGCGGCGAGCTGGGGCAGCTGCGGAGCGCGGTGCAGGGGCACCTGCAGCAGCAGCTGCACCAGCTGACGGAGGCGCCCCCTCTCGCGCCGCGCTTGGGGGGGGGGCCCCCGTCGCCGTGGCAGCCGCGCCTCGCAGGCTCGTGGCGGGCCGCGGAGGCCTTGCGGCCAGTGCCGCCCACCCTGTGCGCCAGGCGGAGGAGGAGGCGGAGGAGGGGGAGGAGGAGGGGGAGGAGGAGGGGGAGGAGGAGGAGGAGGAGGAGGAGGAGGAGGAGGGGGAGGGGGAGGAGGAGGAGGAGGAGGAGGAGGAGGAGGAGGAGGAGGAGGAGGAGGAGGAGGAGGAGGAGGAGGAGGAGGGGGAGGAGATCCAGTATCAACACAAGCCGCATTCACGATGTTGCATTGAACCCTCCCTCCAAGTTCCCTTCGTAGGCCCCTACAGGGATTTGTTTTCATTGCGGGATGTGCCCCATTGGAAGACGACCGTCTCGGGATCCTCAATCGTGCCAAAGCGCAATTCCTGGGACTCAGTGCAGCGAATCAGCGTGACTGGTGCGTCCTGACACATTTAAATCGTGACCGCTCCAGGGGCTCCAACACACCGAATCAACGTAACCGTTGCGACGTGGCCATCCTAACTCGTGCCAGAACACCATGCCTGTGACTTCCACCATACGATTACTTGACATTGCTGTAAACAATCAAAATGATTGTGGTCGGTGCTAAGGTTGACACCTCATTTTGGAATCGTCCCGCATCGTCCCGCCCTCCATCCGTGAAGTTGTGGCAGACTTTTGAGACGAATGTTCGTCGCGCGCGAGCGATCGCCACATCTTGAAAATGTTTCGCCCTCCATCCGCGAAGCTGTTGCGATTTGAAGACGAATGTTTGCGGCGCTAGGGCGAGAGCCACAACTCGAAAATGCCCCGCCTTCATCCACGACATTGCTGCGCACTTTCGAGAAAGATGTGCGCGGGGCTAAGGCGAGAGCCAGATGTTGAAAGCGGCCCGCCCTCCATCCGTGGAGCGGTTGCACGTTTCAAGCTTCGGGATCGTAGGTGGTGCGGATAAACGCCCGGCCCGCCTTTCCGAATAGCTATAAAGAAAAGGGATAAGGGAGAGGAGGAGGAGGAAACTGGAAACTGGAAACTGGACAGACGCGAAGCGTCACAACCAGAAGGCACCACTACATATTGGGCTTCAAGCACCTGGACAATCGATCGAGCATCTCACGACGCTTAGGTGTAATCTTGGCCTTGGAACAAACTTTTGCCGAGGTGCCGAATCTGATCGGACCCGGAACGAGAACACACACGACAAGACCACGTGAAAGCACATGCGGTGGGACGAGTGGGCATACGACCCCCCGCTGTGCACCGCTCCCGATCCCGGGGCCGCCCTGTACAAGCCCCCTCCCACGGCCTGCGACGGACAGCACGGCGAGCGGAGCCATACCGTCCGCGCAGCTCGGCTGGCCGCCGAACAACACCTCGTGCACCGCCTACCCTCGTCGTCGATCTGATGGGGCGGCCCCAAAAGAGCGAGGGCGGCGGGCGACGGCGGCGGCATCGGAGGAGGGGGGGGAGGAGGAGGGGGAGGGGAGGCAGCAGCACCAGCTTGGGGCGCAGACGGGCTGCCGGCTTGCACCCGTTGGCAGACCCTGAAGCATGCCAACACGTTGTTCTCGGGATACCGACGCCACGGATCAACCTGACTGTTGCGTCTTGACGGTCCTGAATCGTGCCAGAACGCCATTCCGAGGACTTCAACACAGAGAATGGACGTAACTGTTGCGCACGCATAATCCTTAACCATTCCAATCACAACTTCTGGTACGTTGATGATGGGAACCCGTGGAACTCCTGAACATTTTGTAAACGAGTGTGCGCGGCGCTACGGCGAGAGCCACATTTTGAAAAGGAGCCGCCCTCAATCTGCGAAGCCCTTCCACATTTTTAAACGAATGTGCGCCGCGCTCAGGCGAGAGCCACATCTTGAAAACCACTCGCCCTCAATCCGTGAAGCTCTTCCAAACTTTTAAACGAATGTGCGCCGTGCTAAGTCGAGAGCCACATTTTGAAAGCCACCCGCCCTCAATCCGTGAAACTGTTGCCAATTTGTAAGCTTTAGAGTCGTAAGTGGTGAGGAAGTCTCAGGCGAAACGCCCGGCCCGCCCTAAAAACTGTCCTCGGGGTGCGACAGGGAAAAGTTTTTTACAAGAAAAGGAATGGACAAGGAGGAGGAGGAGGAGGAGGAGGAGGAGGAGGAGGAGGAGGAGGAGGAGGAGTAAGAGTAAGAGTAAGAGTAAGAGTCAAGCTAGCCAGCTCGAGCGAGTCAAGCATGGCATGCCCAGTCCCACCCGCCCTCCCACAACATAAGAAGCAAAGCTGGCACAACTGGGGGCCGAAGTCACACCGGCCAGCCGGTTTGGTACAGCTGATGCGGCCGCGATGGCGGTTGCCGACGGGAACTGGCGAGCGCGTGTTGAATGCCGCGCACGCATTGCCAGACGAGTCGAGAATGGCCCGGTACACCGCAGGAAGCCAGAGGTGGCCGGAGGAAGCCCGACGGTCTGACAGGACACCCCAAAGCATTTTTGTGAAAAAGCATTGGGTTTTTGATGTTTTTATGTTGAAATGCTTGCAAACACACGGTGTTCGGTAGGATTCTGACATGAACGCGCGAGTGTGCTCTTTGTGGTATTTTTTGCACAGGATTCGCGGCCTGGGTGCATGACAGAGCATCGCGAGTGCACCGCGCGATGACGTGAAATCGCTGGATTTGACAGAATTCTTAAAATTCCCATGGTTTTCTTATGATTTCAGCAAGAGAGCCCGGGCGGGAAATTTGTACAATTTTTGTGAAAAAGCATTAGGTTTTTGATGTTTTTATGTTGAAATGCTTGCAAACACACGGTGTTCGGTAGGATTCTGACATGAACGCGCGCGTGTGCTCTTTGTGGTATTTTTTGCGATGGATTATCGCCGTGGACGACAGGACGTCCATGTCGAGAGGAAAAAATATAAACATGTTGATTTTGTATTGTTTTTTTTACAGGTTAGGATGGGACCACCCGGATGCGGCCCCTATCGGCCGGCCTGAGGGGGGAGTAGGAGTATATTCTAATAAGGAATAAGGATAAGAGTCCCAGGACAGTGTCCAAATCCCTTAACATCAACACGGGAGCCCCTTCTGTGCTCGCCTGGCCTTCTCCTTGGTACTATATACCTTAGGCCATAAACCTCTCTGAATTCGATCGAGATACTCAGCTCGGGTAGGCGTAACTTGATCGGGGCAGGCTCTTCCTAACCCAACGAGCTGCTGATCACAAAACATACCACACGACGCACAGAACCACACATTGACATCCTGATTAAACCGCATCTTGTGCGAGAGATGGACCACTCCCCCCGCGAGGTGCAGCTCGACCCCCCTTGGAAGTACCCGAAGGGACCCATCAAGAGCAATCAACCTGAAACACGGAGAAGCACGCCACTTCCGCAACTCGGAGCTCGACGAGGACCCACGACACCGACGGCACCGACGCCCCGATTCGTCGAGCGCGTGCTGGGTGTTAAAAATTATCCCAGCAAAGCAACCTAACAGCGATGTGTAGAAGCATATCTGAAAGCATTCCCCTTAAGATTCAGATGAAGATCCAATTGTAGAATTCTGCTGTTCTCGCAGTCGTAGTCGCATTCGCGATGACAGTCGCAGCGGCAACGGCAGTCGCAGTCACAGCCTCAGCCTCAGCCTGCCTCAGCCTCAGCCTGCCTCAGCCTCAGCCTGCCTCAGCCTCAGCCTCAGCCTGCTTCAGCCTCAGCCTCAGTCTGCCTTCAGCCTCGGCCTCAGCCTCAGCCTGCCTCAGCCTCAGCCTGCATCAGCCTCAGCCTCAGCCTCAGCCTGCCTCAGCATCAGCCTGCTCAGCCTCAGCCTCAGCCTGCCTCAGCCTCAGCCTCAGTTTGCTTCAGCCTCAGCCTCAGTCTGCCTTCAGCCTCGGCCTCAGCCTCAGCCTGCCTCAGCCTCAGCCTGCCTCGGCCGCAGCATCAGCCTGCCTCAGCATTCAAAATGTGGCCCAGGAATGGAGTTCTGGGAACTAGAAGAACACGAAGTGGCCTACAGTTGGCTCCGGGCATTCAAAATCATGCCCAGGAATGGAGTTCTGGGAACTTGAAGAGCACGAAGTGGCCTACAGTTGGCTCCAGGCATCCAAAATGTGGCCCGGGAATGGAGTTCTGGGAATCGAAGAGCACGAAGTGGCCTACAGTTGGCTCCGGGCATTCAAAATGTGGCCCGGGAATGGAGTTTCTAAAAGCACGAAGTGGAACTCGAAGCACGAAGTGGCCTACAGTTGGCTCCGGGCATTCAAAATGTGGCCCGGGAATGGAGTTCTGGGAAGTCGAAGAGCACGAAGTGGCCTACAGTTGGCTCCGGGCATTCAGAATGTGGCCCGGGAATGGAGTTCTGGGAGGTCGAAGAGCACGAAGTGTGTGACTGTTGCATCCGGTTATTCAGAATGTGGCCTGGGAATGGGGTTCTGAGAGGTCGACGAGCACGAAGTGTGTGACTGTTGGTGAAAAACGAGCCCGGCACAGGCCCGGCCGGCAACTCCCAACGCCTGCCCGACCCCCCTGTGGAGTGATCTGTGAGCTTTTTTGAGTCAGTTATCCCGGCAAAGCAACCTAACAGCGATGTGTAGAAGCATATCTGAAAGCATTCCCCTTAAGATTCAGGTGAGAATCCAACTGTAGAGTTCTGCTGTTCTTGCAATCGTAGTCGCATTCGCGATGACAGTCGCAGCGGCAACGGCAGTCGCAGTCACAGCCTCAGCCTCAGCCTGCCTCAGCCTCAGCCTCAGCCTGCCTCAGCCTCATCCTGCCTCAGCCTCAGCCTCAGCCTGCTTCAGCCTCAGCCTCAGTCTGCCTTCAGCCTCGGCCTCAGCCTCAGCCTGCCTCAGCCTCAGCCTGCATCAGCCTCAGCCTCAGCCTCAGCCTGCCTCAGCATCAGCCTGCTTCAGCCTCAGCCTCAGCCTGCCTCAGCCTCAGCCTCAGTCTGCTTCAGCCTCAGCCTCAGTC